AATTTGTATACGAAACTATTAATGTTTTTTAATAGCTGTTAGCAGGGTAAAATTTGTTAGGTGTGTTTCTACATATTTCTCTATTGGAAATTAAAGTTTTTGATCTCTACTATTTATTGTTATTAAAATGCTCATTGTAGCCAGTTAATTTTAAAAGATTTTCATCATCATCATCATCTTTTTATAAGTAGCATAATTTAATCCCTCAATCTTTTCTAATACTTCGTCCGAAACACCAAAAATGACTATCATTTACAGATCCGTTTAAAATAGTGGGGGGGGGGTGTCACGTCCGTCTATGTCCGCTTGTCTCATAGAATCCAAAAAGGACAGGACATAGGCGGACATAGGCGGACATAGGCGGACATAGGCGGACATAGACGGACATAGGCGGACATAGGCGGACATAGACGGACATTAGCGGACATTAATGGACACCTAAATTGATAAATACAATTTTTGATGTTATAGGGGGATCATGTTTTTTGTCCGTTCGGTACCCTACATTTTCAAAACGGACAAAAAATAGAGCGGACAAAAACGGACAAAAATGGAAATAACATTTAGATGCTTCCTCCTCCTACTCTTCCTCCTCCTCCTGGGTCTTCCTGATCTTCCTCAGTCCTCTTCCTCCTCCCCTCCTCAGTCCTCCTCCTACTCGTCCTCCTCGTCCTCAGTCCTCCTCATCAGTCCTCAACAGTCCTCCTCCTCCTCCTCAGTCCTCCTCCTCCTCTTCATCCTCCTCCTCTTCCTCCTCAGTCCTCAGTCCTCCTCCTCATCCTTCTCCTCAGTCCTCCATCCTCCTCCTCAGTCCTCCCCAGTCCCCCTCCTCCTCCTCCTATTCAGTCCTCCTCCTCCTCCTCCTCCTCCTCCTCCTCCTCAGTCCTCCTCTTCCTCTTCCCTCTCAGTCATCTTCCTCAGCCATCCTCCTCAGTCCTCCTCACTCTCAGTCCTCCTCCTCAGTCCTCCTCTTCCTCTTCATCCTCCTCCTCTTCCTCCTCGGTCCTCAGTCCTCCTCCTCATCTGCATCCTTCTCATCAGTCCTCCTCCTCCTCAGTCCTCTCCCAGTCCCCCTCCTTCTCCTCCTCCTATTCATCTGCATCCTTCTCATCAGTCCTCCTCCTCCTGAGTCCTCCTCCTCCTCTTCCTCCTGAGTCCTCCTCCTAAGTCCTCCTCCTCCTCCCTCTCAGTCATCCTCCTCAGCCATCCTCCTCAGCTATCCTCCTCAGCCATCCTCCTCAGTACTCCTCAGTCCTCCTCCTTCTCAGTCCTCGTCAGTCCTCCTCCTCAGTCCTCCTCAGTCCTCCTCCTCCTCCTGGGTCCTCCTCCTCCTCCTCCTCCTGGGTCCTCCTCCTGGGTCTTCCTGATCCTCCCCAGTCCTCTTCCTCCTCCCCTCCTCAGTCCTCCTCCACCGTTCGGTACCCTATATTTTCAAAACGGACAAAAAATAGAGCGGACAAAAACGGACAAAAATGGACAAAAACGGACAAAAATGGAAATTACATTTAGATGCTTCCTCCTCCTACTCTTCCTCCTCCTCCTCCTGGGTCTTCCTGATCTTCCTCAGTCCTCTTCTTCCTCCCCTCCTCAGTCCTCCTCCTACTCCTCCTCCTCGTCTTCAGTCCTCCTCATCAGTCCTCAACAATCCTCCTCCTCCCCAGTCCTCCTCCTCCTCCCCAGTCCTCCTCCTCCTCCCCAGTCCTCCTCCTGGGACCTGGGTCCTCCTCCTGGGTCCTCCTCCTCCTCTTCATCTTCCTCCTCTTCCTCCTCTTCATCCTCCTCCTCAGTCCTCAGTCCTCCTCAGTCTTCCTCCTCATCCTTCTCCTCAGTCCTCCATCCTCCTCCTCAGTCCTCCCCCAGTCCCCCCTCCTCCTATTCAGTCCTCCTCCTCCTCCCCCTCCTCCTCCTCCTCCTCCTCCTCCTCCTCCTCCTCCTCCTCCTCCTCCTCCTCCTCCTCCTCCTCCTCCTCCTCCTCCTCCTCCTCCTCTTCCCTCTCAGTCTTCCTCCTCAGCCATCCTCCTCAGTCCTCCTCAGTCCTCCTCCTCAGTCCTCCTCCTCCTGGGTCCTCCTCCTCCTCTTCATCCTCTTCCTCTTCCCCCTCGGTCCTCAGTCCTCCTCCTCAGTCCTCCTCCTCATCCTTCTCATCAGTCCTCCTCCTCCTCAGTCCTCTCCCAGTCCCCCTCCTCCTCCTCCTATTCAGTCCTCCTCCTCCTCCTCCTCCTCAGTTCTCCTCAGTCCTCCTTCTCATTTCTCCTAAGTCCTCCTCCTGAGTCCTCCTCCTCCTCCCTCTCAGTCATCCTCCTCAGCCATCCTCCTCAGCCATCCTCCTCAGTACTCCTCAGTCCTCCTCCTTCTCAGTCATCGTCAGTCCTCCTCCTCAGTCCTCCTCAGTCCTCCTCCTCCTCCTGGGTCCTCCTCCTCCTCCTCCTCCTCCTGGGTCATCCTCCTGGGTCTTCCTGATCCTCCCCAGTCCTCTTCCTCCTCCCCTCCTCAGTCCTCCTCCACCGTTCGGTACCCTATATTTTCAAAACGGACAAAAAATAGAGCGGACAAAAACGGACAAAAATGGACAAAAACGGACAAAAATGGAAATTACATTTAGATGCTTCCCCCTCCTACTCTTCCTCCTCCTCCTCCTGGGTCTTCCTGATCTTCCTCAGTCCTCTTCTTCCTCCCCTCCTCAGTCCTCCTCCTACTCCTCCTCCTCGTCTTCAGTCCTCCTCATCAGTCCTCAACAGTCCCCCTCCTCCCCAGTCCTCCTCCTCCTCCCCAGTCCTCCTCCTCCTCCTGAGTCCTCCTCCTGGGACCTGGGTCCTCCTCCTGGGTCCTCCTCCTCCTCTTCATCTTCCTCCTCTTCCTCCTGATCCTCAGTCCTCAGTCCTCCTCAGTCTTCCTCCTCATCCTTCTCCTCAGTCCTCCATCCTCCTCCTCAGTCCTCCCCCAGTCCCCCCTCCTCCTATTCAGTCCTCCTCCTCCTCCTCCTCCTCCTCCTCCTCCTCCTCCTCCTCCTCCTCCTCCTCCTCCGCATCCTCCTCCTCCTCCTCCTCCTCCTCCTCCTCTTCCCTCTCAGTCATCCTCCTCAGTCATCCTCCTCAGTCCTCCTCAGTCCTCCTCCTCAGTCCTCCTCCTCCTGGGTCCTCGTCCTCCTCCTCTTCATCCTCTTCCTCTTCCCCCTCGGTCCTCAGTCCTCCTCCTCAGTCCTCCTCCTCATCCTTCTCATCAGTCCTCCTCCTCCTCAGTCCTCTCCCAGTCCCCCTCCTTCTCCTCCTCCTATTCAGTCCTCCTCCTCCTCCTCCTCCTCAGTTCTCCCCAGTCCTCCTTCTCATTTCTCCTAAGTCCTCCTCCTGAGTCCTCCTCCTCCTCCCTCTCAGTCATCCTCCTCAGCCATCCTCCTCAGCCATCCTCCTCCTCCTGGGTCCTCCTCCTCCTCCTCCTTCTGGGTCCTCCTCCTGGGTCTTCCTGATCCTCCCCAGTCCTCTTCCTCCTCCCCTCCTTAGTCCTCCTTCTACTCCTCCTCCTCGTCCTCAGTTTTCCTTATCAGTCCTCAACAGTCCTCCTCCTCCCCAGTCCTCCTCCTCCTCCTTGGGCCTTTTCCTGGGTCCTCCTCCTGGGTCCTCCTCCTCCTGGGTCCTCCTTCTCCTCCTCAGTCCTTCTCCTCCTCCTCAGTCCTCTTCCTCCTCTTCCTCCTCCTCCTCCCTCTCAGTCATCCTCCTCAGCCATCCTCCTCAGCCATCCTCCTCAGTCCTCCTTCTTAGTCCTCCTCAGTCCTCCTCCTGAGTCCTCCTCCTCCTGAGTCATCCTCCTCAGTTCTCCTCCTTCTCCTCCTAGGTCCTCCTTCTGGGTCCTCCTCCTCCTCCTCCTCCTGGGTCTTCCTGATCCTCCTCCTCCCTCTCAGTCATCCTCCTCAGTCATCCTCCTCAGTCATCCTCCTCAGCCATCCTCCTCAGCCATCCTCCTCAGCCATCCTCCTCAGCCATCCTCCTCAGTACTCTTCAGTACTCTTCAGTCCTCCTCCTTCTCAGTCCTCCTCAGTCCTCCTCCTGAGTCCTCCTCCTCCTGAGCTTATATCCACCAATGTCCGTCCGAGTCCGCCAATGTCCGTCCGGGTCCGCAAATGTCCGTCCGAGTCCGCAAATGTCCGTCCGAGTCCGCCAATGTCCGTCCGAGTCCGCCAATGTCCGTCTGTGTCCGTCCGTGTCCCAAAAAACACGTCCGTTGTCTCATAGAATCCAAAAAGGACAGGACATAGGCGGACATAGACGGACATGACACCCCCTCCAATAGTCTCTTTTTGAAAGACCAGGGGATTTGAACCCATGGACCGCCCTATATCTAACGTCTCCTTCAACCAGAATCCAGATACCTGAGGAGGAGAGCTACGAGGGCCAGGGAAAGATGATATATTTATTGTTCAGGATTTACGATTGTGCTCTGCCAATTGCATCACTTGATTTAATTTATTGTGTATATATATATAACATTCTTACTTTCATTTGAACCCAGACATCCTGTTTAATCTTTATTTTGAGAAGGCGATGCTTTTGATTGGGCCATTTGTCAGTTGGCATGAATTTATGCTTACAAGTCGATCTAGTAAAGCAGTAGAGCTCAATAAAGATTTCAATGGTCTTACAATATGATTATTAGATTTAATATAATATGCAACCTGAGGCACAGGTTGGTTTTAAATGTTCAATTCCAGTATAGGGAACATTTATATGTTCTCCCTGCTAGTATCCAAGTATGTTTATTGAAATGATTTAGCTTACTCAAATAAGCCTGAATGATTTAGCTTGATCATTGACATATTGTGTACAAAACAAATCCCTTACAGATGTGTATTGTAATGTTGTCTATATCCTGCAACTTACAAGTTACATTTGTCGGATGCAGTCAATCATGTTGTATGATTGACCTTTGACACAATGAACTCGTACAATTTGTACATGTCACACACAGTATGCTGTAAATTGTATTATAACATTATATTTCACTTTTAGGATGTCAGACATGGAAGGAGATGACAAATTGGCCACTGAGAAAGAACTCAAAGACTCAAAGGCAACACCTTACATGTATGTAGTGACAGCTCAAAAACCGACTGCAACAAATGTTGCTATTACCAGTAACTTCACTGGCCCTGATGAACTTAATCTTATCTTGGCTAAGAACTCTAAAATAGAAATCCACACAATTTCTCCAGAGGGTTTAAGACATTACATGGATCTTAACATTAATGGTTGTGTCACATGTATGCAAAGCTTTAGGCCCAAAGGGGAAGATCAAGATGTTGTATTTGTCTTAACACGCCGTTACCATGTTTTCATTATCCAGTACAAGCCTGAAACAAAGGAACTTATCACCCGAACATATGGAGACATTGAAGATAGCACTGGTAAACCAACTGACATAGGGGCCATTGGAATAGTTGATCCTGAATGTAAACTTATTGGCTTAAGGCTGTATGAAGGACTTCTAAAGATTGTACCACTTGACACAGTGAAACAAAAAGAAGGCAAGGAGTTGAAATCTTTTAATATAAGGATAGAAGAACTCAACATCATTGACATCAAGTTCTTGGAAGGTTGCAAAGTTCCAACAATTGTTTACATTTATCAAACGCAAAAGGGAACAAGACATGTCAAAACATTTGAAATATCGTTATCTAACAAAGAATTTACCAAAGGACCCTGGAAACTCACAAATGTGGAAGCTAATGCCAACCTGATAATTCCTGTGAAAGGGCCACTATATGGTGCCATCATAATTGGGCTTGCAACTGTGTCCTATTGTAAAGCTGATACCTTTATTTCACATGCTCCGGGAGTGTTACGGAACAGCATCATCACAAGTTACTGTACAATTGATAGCAAGCGGTATCTTTGCTCAGATGATAAAGGCCTACTTTTCATACTGACCCTAGTCACCGACCAGGCAGATGTTGTAACCGATATTCAAATGATACTGCTAGGAGAAACAACCATTGCATCCTGCCTGGCTTATCTTGATAACTCAGTGGTTTATGTTGGATCTGCTCAAGGTGACAGCCAGCTTATTCACATCAATCCTGGACGTACAAGTGCTGATGAGCTCCACTTAACTGTGCTAGAGACCTATGCTAACTTGGGAAGCATCACTGACATGTGTATTGTGGATTCTGATAAACAGCCCCAGCTCGTGACTTGCTCAGGTTGCTACAAGGAGGGTTCTCTCAGAGTTGTTAGATGTGGTATTGGTATTCAAGAACTTGCCTCTATTGACATTCCTGGAATAAAAGGCATCTGGCCCATTACGATTAGAAGTGATGATTCCCTTGATAATGCTTTGATTATAACATTCATGGGTTACACCAGAATCCTGTCCTTTGATGGTGAAGAGGTTGAAGAGATTGAGACCAAAGATCTCATCTCAGACAAGCAGACTTTGTACAGTGGCATGACATCTGGGGATAATATCATCCAAATATGCTCCACTTGCATAAGGTTACTTGATTCTCACACTCTCAATGCTGTTTCTGAGTGGAAACCTGCTGCTGGCGAAAGGATTGATCATGTGGGATGTAACAAGACACAATGTGTTGTGTCTGATGGGAATGTCATTACATATCTTTCTATTGAAAGTGGCAATATAAAGCAGATTTCCAGGGTTGAGCTTGACCATGATGTTGCTTGTGTTGATATTACTCCTCTTGACCACAACAACAGTGATAAAAGTAAGTACTGTGCAGTTGGGTGCTGGGTTGATGGTTCTATTAGATTGTACTCACTTCCTGACTTCCAGCAACTGCAAACTCATGAACTGGGTGGTGAGATTGTGGTTAAATCCATATTGATGTGTCCCTTTGACGATTCTTCTTATCTTATGGCTACTCTTGGAGATGGTTCCCTGTTCTATTGTGATATTGATCCTGAAACAGGCAAGTTGTCTAAAAAGAAGAAGATTGCTCTTGGCATACACTCCACAACATTGCAGCTATTCCATGCATTTGATGCAAATCACGTTTTTGCTTCATCTGATCGACCCACAGTTATCTACAGCAATTCCAACAAGCTAGTGTTCAGTACAGTAAACATGCAGGATGTGAATCACATGTGCCCTATAAACACCTCAGCTTATCCGGATGCACTTGCTCTTGCATCAAGTTCAGGATTAGTTGTTGGTAGTGTGGCTGCTATTCAAAAATTGCACATACAAACGATTCCTCTCGGAGAATCACCTAAGAGGATTGCATACCAAGAAGCAACATCAACATATGGTATCATCACGATGAGGAACAACAATATCACTGCTCCTAGTGTCAGTACTTTGTGTCAGAACATAACTGACAGTTCTGATGTTGTCAATGGTATGGACCCTGACTCAAGATTCAAGAAGGATGCTGCTAACAATTCGGAAGTCCACAATCTTCTTATCATGGACAAGAAAACTTATGAGGTTCTTCATGTGCATAGATTTGCACCAACCGAATGGGGCCTCTCAGTATTTTCCTATCACTGCAATGAAAAGGATTATTTCGTGGTTGGAACTGCATTCGTTAATGAAGAAGACTCTGAGTCTAAAGATGGAAGATTGATTGTATTCAGATGGGACGGAACCACATTAAATCAAGTCGCAAGTCATGATGTGAAAGGTGCAGTCAGTTCTGTAACGGAAGTTTGTGGTAAAATATTGGCTGGGATCAATAACAAGGTAACAGTTTTTGAGTTCAAAGAAGAAGATGGTCTAAAGGTGGAGTGCAAGTATCACAATACCCTTATGGCAGTTTATCTTAGAGCTAGAGGTCAGTTCATTCTAGTGGGAGATCTGTTGAGGAGCATGGCATTGCTGGTGTACAAACAGCTTGAGGGCAGATTAGAAGACATTGCCAAGGACTACAAAGCAAACTGGATGACTCAGGTTGAAATACTTGATGACGATACTTTCCTAGGAGCAGAGCATTTCAACAACTTGTTTGTGTGTACCAAAGAAGGGGGTATGGAGGAGGAAGACAGACGGCTGCTAAAGCTTGCTGGTCAATTCCACCTGGGAGAAAATGCTAACGTGTTCAGAGAAGGATCGCTTGTTTTGAAGAACCCCTCCGGAGCACCTCCTCTTGTTCACAAAACTATCCTTTATGGTAGCTCTACTGGGGCTATTGGACTTATTGGCTGCATCGAAAAACCATTGTTTGATTTGTTGTTGACCCTACAGGAAGCACTGGCAAGGACTGTTACTAGTATAGGCTGCATTCCGCACAATGTATGGAGGGCATTCCATAATGACCGACAGAAGGAACCAGCTAATGGTTTTATTGATGGAGACCTTATCGAACGATTCTTGGACCTTCCCAGACCTGAGATGAATAAAATTTGCGTGGACTTGTTTTATGATTTTGATGGTACAGGCATGAAGAGGGAGGGAACGGTTGACGATCTAGTTAAACTTATTGAGGATCTGGCCAGGATTCACTGAGTCGAACAAAGATCAGAGCTGCTGTTGAAATGGCCTCTGCAGAATTCACTGTTACAATACGCCACATCGTGCCCGACAAGTTACTGTCATGAAGAAGACAAAGCCAGCGGAAAATTTAAAAGGTCTGATATCGGGACTATCAGTTCGCAGCAGACATGCTGCTTGTTTTGATTTGGGATCAAGGGATTTATATGGGGACAGTATGGAATTTCTTGCGGTCATGTGATCATTATATAACTATGACAGATATTTAATACTCAGTGATAAAGTATGCAATCTTTTTATATTTATGACTTTAGGTCAGTAATTTCATATCAAAATTCGTAAATTATTTTCTGTGCTTGTTTGCCAAACATCTATCGAGGTTATGGGTAATGACGTGTTACATTCCGGGTCTTTCACGTGTTACAATGTTTATCGACATGAAAAGGGAGAACCCCTTACCTTAGTCCACAAGTTTAGCGCTATCACTGATAAATTATTTTCTTAAATAAGTTATTAAACGATTATTTTCTTCATTCAGTGACCCAATGATAGGGCCTTAAAGGTATACGATTCTTTATGTAGCATACCTTTGTGTATGTAATTTCCCGCTATAACATATCTTTGTGGACTTCGGCGTAAACTATGTGTCTTTTCTAGATTTTTTAGTGGTATATGGCTTTCAGTCTAGAGTTTTCAGGTTCCTATACGATTTGAAAATGTACTGAACTTGAACTATTTATTAATTTTAAATGTTGATTTAATACCAAGAATTTTGTCTTTCACTGCATCAAGTTTAGAAGCATTCTTTAAATAACACATATTATGTTACTTTGAGATCTGTATTAACTAAAGATTAACTAGAGTTATAACTGAAAAAATTAATAAATTCATCTCGATGTTGTTTAAATCATAACGTTTGTCGTAAGCAACAATTTGTTCCAGTGATGGCCACGAAGACGAAAAAGAAAATGTGTCCAAGAGTCACGCTGAAAACCAGCAACGATGAGGATCCCCTAATCTGTACTGCTACCAACGTTTCAAAATCGAAAACGTTCAAGACGAAAACGGAGTTTACATGCTACCAAAATACATCTGACTTGAGTAATCCAAGACTGGCTGCACAAAGAATGTTGGTTATGGACTGCGATGGTATTCAAAGTGTGGGAAAATCTTGGGAAACTAAGGTTTGTATTTAAATCATAACAAAACTCTCGTCTGATTGTGTGTTGACATACCTATTTTAACCAATATAATGAAATGCTGATCACATAAAAGCACCAGTAAGTTGAGGGTCTGAGTATTTCCTTTACCCTCACCCAGATTGTTACAGAACTACGGTAGCCAATTCATGGTAGGCGTCCTGGACAAAGAAACCAATGAGATGACCCTAAGACCATCTGCTCTGATAAATCTTAAACCCTACGTTAAAAGCTTTGAGGAGGAGGACAGAGAGAAGGAGAAGGAGTTGAGCTACGGAGAAAAGTACAAAGCGCTTGCAATGAAGTTTGGAGCTAGCCGCATTCAGAAGACTATCAAAGGTTAGATATTCTGAGAGGGATCAGAAATATATTTAAATGTTCGTTTTGTTGTCAGATCCTGTGTGTTTGAAGATTATTGTTGTAAATTCATGTCAGATCTAGGAAGAATGTGAGTTAGCCAAATTGAAAATTTTCTCTATACGGGTAAACCGCCCCTAAAACGTCACCTGTTTTTTGGGCCCAGATTGCCGAGTTAGGGCTAAATTTACAGGGTTCTGAAGTGTCTAGGAATAATATTTAAACCTTTTTCTAGCCTGCCAGGAAGATTTGGAAATTTGAAAATAAAATCAGGTACAATTTTTTTGACGTTGAAATGGAGTCACTTTTAAAACACCACCCCTAAAATGTCAACTCTATATGTGTGATAATTACAAAATGTACAGGAGGCCTGATTTATCTTTTGTCACTAGTACTATTTGTTTTGTCTTATTAAAACATTAAGCTACTTGAAAACATTCACTTACTAAAGGAAGTACCTCAAAACCGTAACCACCCCCTAAAATGTCACGTGCACCACCTCTAAAACGTCAGCTAAAACAGGTTGTGTAGCACTCAGAATGTTGCTCAATTATTAATTTTAACCACTTCTGGGACAAATATAACCTATTTCTGAGAGGTGTCGACCAGAATTTCTCTCTCTGTTGAAAAAAAATGGTGGAATTCAGTCAATTTACTTTTTGCGACATTTTGGGGACTTTTTTTTCAATACCCAGAACTTACGGCAAAACAGTAACTCAGTCAACAAAATTTACACCTGTAGTTAGATTATCTAGTTATAAACTAACAATTGGCACAAAAGAAATGGATTCAATGTGATTTTAACCTTGTGCAAATTGCATGTTTTAATTGCATTTTTGGGGATTTTTAACATCATCCTGCATTTTGGCAATTTTAGTGACCTGTAGTTAACTAAGCCAACCCAGTAATCGATCTGACCTTCTCTATAGACTAGATTTGACTGCTTTTAGCAAAATTGAATGTCAAAAACTACGGTTTTTGGTACTTACTAGTTTATGGTAAACCTATGATATAATGCCCCCTAAAATGTCATTTTTTTCTCCCCTAAAATGTCAAATTTGTATTTTGTTCGCATGGTGTGCGATAATAGCTCTTGTTTTGGCACTTGTTAATTATTACCATCAACTATTAACGAAATGTGAGTATGCATTGCATCTTAGGAAAAGCCTGAGTAATTTGATCAGGTTAAAATGACATTTTAGGGGGGATAATTAGACATTTTAGGGGATGTTTATTGCAATTAATAAAATAAAACTAATTCCTTGAGCTGCCAAAGCTTTCCAATATTACCATTAGATGCTAAATATGATGTTTAATAGGCTGGTACCTCCATTTTATGGTGCTTGTAGTCTCAAAGCCAGAATCTGATAAAATGACATCTTAGGGGGCGGCCAGGTGACATTTTAGGGGAGGGTAGTAATATTGAGTAATGTATAACTTTCCATATCTCCAGTCATATGTACAAAGTTGCTAAAATATGTAAATATCACTATCCTAGACCAAAACCGAGTTAATATTAATGAATTCCAGAGTTAAAAAATTGTGCGCTTTTTTTTCAAAAGTAAAAAATTCGTACAAAGTGAAAAAAATGCCCTTATGGCATCATTTAGATTCAATTTCAGGATGTGGCAGGGTCTGAATGATATTTTTTTATGTTTAGGAGTTACAAATGATTAGGTAAGATACTTTCTAAGAAGATGGGATCCAATCAATCAAGAGTGGCGTTTTAGGGGTGGGTGACATTTTAGGGGCGGTTTACCCGTATGTGGTTTGGTCATGGTATTTATAATTTGTAACCGACAGCTGATGTTCAGTGAGTAATCCATGATTGTGATCAGGTAAAGACAGGGTGCGGGAGATGGAGGTGAATACACTGGATGAGGCAATGCAAGAAGCGGTGGTATCAGTAGATACAGCTAACCTAACACAACAAGCTGATCTCACTACCAACGATATCTTACCTCCTATCAATACTGACGCTAAGGTTACTTATAGCTTTATAGTAATAGATTAAAGTTGCACGGCAGTAGCTTACTGCGCCTGTACTCTTACAATCAGTGAAACTGTAGGTTTTACACGCGTAGAAACGTAGTTCAGCTGTGTAACTTATATGTTCAATTGTTCACATGTGACGAATTGAGCTAATTAACATGTTCCTGTCAGGATCTAAGTGATGTGTTCCTGATAACAGATCTGATATCAGAGGCTGAGATAGCAGCGCTGTTGCCCTTCACAACTGTTCTTAGAGAATGTACTCAAGTTCATGTTAACGCATGGAGGGAACAGAACAAGTAAATATAACTTCCTATTCTAGGTTTTATCTGACAGTTATTTCATTTCCAAAAATATTCACCTTAAAATCATCTAAAGATCTAACATAAGTAGTAAAACTTCTCGAAGGATTTTTCGAACTTAAATGAATTTTTCGTCCAAAGTTCTTTTTATTGAGCATTTTATTTAGTACCTTAATAAAATGATTTGATATACCTTCTCTCAGGTATCCTGATTTCATGCTGTCCCGACTACCAATAGTAATGGAGGATGACCACATGGCTCACTTGTACCTCTCCGAGCTCCTCTACATATCTTATCTTATTACTCTGTTGAAACTTCCTCTTAAGTCGATCGGGAGCAAGAAAACAAGCTTCCCTAATACCCCCTCTGTTGTAAGTATAGATCCCAATTATATAAAGTTAACACTAGAGAGTTACTTTTATATAGTTAACTATTTCCATCACACAGTATTAACCACACATCGGACCATTCATAAAACTTACTCAAATAAGCTTAAAACTTTAAACTAAATATATTTCGTACTAGTTCAGTATCGATTTCTCTCAGATTATCTGAACTTTGAATTGAGTTAACACTGTATCAGGTGACAGAAAGTATGTACAAGAAGTTCACCTCACTCGGCCAGCGAGACGGGAAACTGCGAACATCCATGTCAGACAAACAACGCAATAAATTAATAGCGCACATCTTAGCACTGACCCTAGTAGTAGACAAATACTGTGTGAGATACAGTGAACTGTGTAAAGACACAGGGGTTAAGTCACGTGTGCTAAGTGACACGTACAGGAGTATGGGGTGCAGTATCAGCAAGTTAAAAGGGGACCAGAATAAGGGACTGATGTTGGCTGTGTTGAAGTTACCTGTCAAGTTACCACCGCTTGTCCTGCGGAAAGGGGGCAAAAAACGCGATTAGGAGTTTTATTTGTTGTTTTACTTTTATTAGGTGGTTTTAGCTTTTCGTTACAGCAGTCTCTTAAATTATATATAATTTATTAATTTGATCATTTTAAAGTTTTTTTTTACTTCAGCATTTATTCACTGCTTCGACAATTCTTATATGACGGAAGGTACAGTCTTATAATTTTAAGAAACAAACCAGATTACATTCCTTAAATACAGGTTCTTTTCTTAAAATATTAACAAAAGAACAATTTTAGTGTAAGACTGGTAGAAGGTATGTTAGGAGCAGCCCACAAATGCCCCCTCAAGACAGAAGGAACTCCCTTCAGCTACAGTCCAATAAACACCTCCCCTCCACCTCCGGGTACTGTCATCAACTCCATCCCTAACAAAGACTACCTGATAAACGCCACTCTGGGCAACATGCTCTCTGATGATCTGCACGACAACTACATGCCAGGTCTACTCTCTCTTATCGACTCCATTGACCGGCCCATCTTAGTGCACCTCCGTGATAGAAGAACTATTATTGGGTGTCTCAGTTCTATAGACACGTACGGTAACATCCTGCTGAGCAACACTGTTGAGAGGGTTTATGCTATGGACTTCCACGCGGATATTCCACGTGGAATATACCTTGTACGCGGAGAAAACGTAGCGATTGCAGGAGAAGTAGACTTGACGGACGAAGATCCGGAGAAGGCGCGTCCGCTGAAACAAGTGCTGGCATACCAGGAGGCAGAGAAGTTGGGACGGGAGGAGAAGAAGAGAAGGATCAGGCACATGTCGTATGAAGCAGGCGTTCTGTCGCTAGACGACACCTTAGAGGACGATTTCTATCAGTAGTTTGGGCTTTAAGATCTTAGTTTTTATAAGTTTTTTACTTTCTTGTATTTTATTATTTGATTGCAAAGTTTTAAATTGCGAATATTTATTTTAAAGTATGGAATATGGATATTGTCGAGATGGCGAATACATTTCAATGCCAAATATTTGATTAAATAAGTTTTTAAATTGTCGTTTTTACAATTCATACCTAGTTTGGGTAATTTTATCTCTTTGAAATTCTAACGATTAAACTTTTTACAATGTTATTTTGTACCTTAATTTTGTATGTAAACCATAATATTTATCTAAGTGTTCTGGAATTTGGAATTAAGTATTTTCTACTTGATTCATAAATCGAGCAATCATTGCCATTTAATTTTATGCGTTAAAAATGTGTATTTTCAAATTGGCCTTGACACTTGCATTACAGATCATTTTCTTAGAATGAATACTTAAAATAATTAAGAGTTATTATGACATTCCTTTGATTACTTTACCGCGCGGTAAACGTTTTTATTGCAGACCTTTTACTCCACAGAATTCGACTGCAGTTGATTATTGCAGATCATTTGGCACGTCATGTTGTTGATCACGCACTTCACTTTTGTTTAAGTAATAATCTACTCCACAGCTATATGTAGGATGTCATGAATGAGAATGGTTGCGCATGGCGCTATGGCAACGGCCGGCAAACTTGAAAATGAACTTCAACATTACGTCCCCTTAGGATCAATTGTTATGTGCGTCGACCCCTACGGTAAGAAGACTCTCGAGGTTTTAATAATTCATAGTTCCTCTTGAGGGAAAGGGGGTTTCAAAATGTGATAAGGCGGGAAGTGGTTAAGGGAGGGCTGGTATAAATATTCCACGGTGATAGTGATGTAACTTGCTTACACTCTAAGATAAAGAACTTAATCCATAATATTAATTATCATCCATAATTTATCTGTTACAATTACTGTATTTGATCGGTCAATTGAATCACATCACAAATGGAAGTGTTTTAAGGGTGGATTGTATAAAAAGTTCAAATTTTAGTTGAAGTCAATTGCAGACACACTCCAAGATAAAGAGCTTAATCCAACAATTATCACATATTTATCTGTATCAATTACTATATTTGATTGGGCTATTAAATTTTATGATAAGCTACAAATCTTGTTAACTAAAAGAATAGGATTCTCATTACCTCATTGATTAGTTTCATTAATAATATGATTAGTGCGTCACTTAGGTAATAATTTACAACGTTGGTGTTAATAAATTCGTTAACACAACATCCCACCCAGCCAATAAGATAGAGGGTGAATTAGTGGCTATGGATGAGCCCACCGGTATGATAATAATAAAGAGTGTAAGCAACGACCAGAAGGAGGATTTAACTGTTCTTAACAGAGAGCTGCTTACCGAGTTTGAAGTCAAGAAGTATGCTCCTAATAATACCAGAGGTAAAAGTTACTTTTCGAATTATTAGTTAATTGCGTTAATTCGCTAATAAGTTATAAAATCACACAGTTAAGTTGATAGGTTGAGAGAATGAGACGGAAAACTTGGTTCAGTTTGGAGTCCATAATTTTCTAAGTTCCCCATTCATATGTCGGTCCAATCATAATGACGAATAAGATTCGTGACAACACTTTGAAAGTGACTATTTAACTAACCTTTCTAACCACTGTGTACTGTTGCAAGTATAGTTGTTGGACATATTAAAACTTTTAGGTGCGTTCATGCCGGAGCGAATTGTAAGTGAGAGCGCTGTGAGGAAAGCTATCATCGAGAAGGAAGAGGCCATCAACAGAGTTGGGCCTAAAGATGTTAGTTTGGCAGGCAGGGAGCTCTTCAAGGTCATCAACAAAACGTGAGTACATTTAAATTGTGGATAGTTATCGAATAATGTTATCTGATGAATAATCAGATAAAGACAAAGACATCCTTGTAAGACTTCCGGCGCGGCGGTTCAGAAGGACTGAGAAAATTTTAACCATCCTAATCACCTCAAATGACGTCCACTATAGTTTAAAATGACCATGCCGTATGTTACTTCTTTCCGCCTCACTTTCCTGCAACCGCCCACCGGATGCAAGGTTTGGCATAATATCCAACAATTATCTTACCACGCGTGTCACATTCTCTACTAGCAGACAAACGACATTTTCGCATATAGAGGTCTTTTTTGCGCACGTGTGGGTTGAAGCGCGCGGGCGCGGCGAATATTAATTCTCACATTTTATTTGTTCACTTTAATTTAACAAGAACTGAAAAATAACAAGAGATAATGATTGAATAGATTACATTTTAAGTGGTTTTTACTGGCACTTACCAGTGTTGTATACTTCGCTTGGTCTTTAAATCAAAACAAGACATTTCATTACTTTTGATGATTGTTCTTAGATAAGTTTCTCACTATATTGCCTACCACATACGGAGGTTGTCCTAAATTTCTAATTTTTCTGGGAAGATAGTCCTTAATGAGTCTAATGACTCTCAGAAATCGTTCTAGAAAGGCTCATTTTAAATTAAACAGGCTTACAAAATAGTAAATCTTAGGCAGTTTCAGTAATACCAATTAATCACAGCAGTGTTCTTTAAAGATATATTATCAAGGTAACATATGTGCAAACATGCTGCCGGGTGAATGAATTCTATCAAGCTGCCCATCAATTCGAATAGGTATACGGGTAACCAATCACGATTGCAACCAATATTGACGAAATCACTGTACCACAAACCGGGAACTTCTTTGTATTTTCATTTTAAACGTTTAATCCATAAGTTGAACTCCTGCAGCGATTTCTTTGGACTATTTTCGTATTGGTAAAATAATAAACATTCAGGTACACGAATCTCGAGTGGCGTGGAAATGTAATACAAGGCCTTGACGGAGATTTCTTTGTACACCCACCTTACAAATCTAACGATGTCAAAGGAAATACTGAGGATGCAGTGGCTAGAATCAAGAAAGTGGTAAGCTCTAATGTTTATTTAATATTTGAGCAATCTGAACCACGGCGTATTAATCTCTAGATTCTACTGGTATTATTTTGAATAATTTGGTTTTTATCAGGTGTTGTTATTTGGGTTGGGGATGTTGTAAGGCTGGCAGTTGGTTATGATCTTTGTAAGAAAGATATCAAGTTATAATTAATCACCAAACACGCTAGTGTAAAGTTATTGACATACGATTAAATCTCATTTATTGCCACCAACCGTAGATAAAGTTCGATTTTCCGTAACATTGTTCAAACGTTCAGGTTGACAAGTTTCACCAAGATTTCGTGAAGAAGCACGGGCCACAGAGTGACTCATAGACAGGACTACAGGATACGGGACTGTTGTGTTATAATAACTTATGATTTTCAACTGCTGAACCATATGATTGCCAATTATAATTTATTCGTTGTACCTAAATCCGTGATACCCAGTTTTTAAATCAATGCTTTTCGGAACCCTATTTAATGAAGTGTCTTAAGAGCACCATTCGAAGATCTTGCTTTAATTTGAAAAATTTCCCGATTCATTTTACATGAAATATTTGGTAACTTCCTTGTTTAATAATATGTTTATATATTTCAGTTATTTTCATGAGAACCGACTGTAGGTTTATAGGAATTTAAAAACAGGAAGGGTAATTTCAGCTATTTTATTGGTCATATTTGATATTTGGATTTGTTTCCATTTAACTTCCGCTTTGTTCAATGTGTTGTAGTTTAACATTTATGTTGAAAACGTGAAAACTGTAAAGCGTACGAACGTGGCTCGCAAGCTGCCTTCTTGCCTGGTGTTTTAAAGAAATTTGAGACACCTGTAATCTGTCAAGGCCTAGTTCAGCATAGCCAGTCCTCGATTTTTCTGCAACTGTAGGAATAGAAGTATCCGGCCCCTGCCAATATTCTCGCCCTCGAGACATTTCTCAAATTCTCAACCTAGCTCTGTAGTGAAACCAGTTCTCATCCATTGAGGAATTTGTAAACTTTTCTTATTACAAATAAGATATGGCTTTCTCAGCCTGTAGTTCCTGTACTATTTTATAGTTTTATTTGTAAAGTTTCCTTTCTCGGCTTGGTCTGAAATTCTGTCCTCTAGCTGCACTGCAGAAAGTTGATGTTCGGATAATTGCACCTTGTCACTGTTTTCAATGTCTGTTGTAAATGGAGTGTGATTAAACTATGGTTTTTTCTGAACTTGAAAGGATGTTGTACAATGTAAATTGCTCTCCATATAACTTACTGTTAATTTCTTCGAAGAAAAGGTTTGAAAATTCTTACGCTAGTGTAATTGCTGCAAAATGACAACTAAAAGTTCCACATGGTGGTGACCATCAGTACCAAGCTTCATGATATTATCAACTAAACTATACGTGTGGACGGTGGGCAATTGTGTTACTCTAACCTTCTTAATTGTTATCCAGACAACGAGTGCATGACTTCACAGTTAAGGTGCCAAGGGGCAGGCTCAAATAATACTTTCGAGTAGTTTATATCCAGCTCGGCCAGTACTCACCAGGTAACCTGATCTGCCTCTTCTCTGAGCCGGTTTCGCATAGTAAAATGACATCACCACTGCTGTCAACAGATATTATCCAACTATCAGTATTTCAACAGTCTTTCGGGGACCAATAAACCATTACTTCCAAAGTATGCTAAGAATCTTCTTAGGATACCACTTCAGTACATCTACTGTGTACATAGTTCTACAGTCTACACTATATGCTAATTTCTGTCCGCTACGATGTCTAACTCCATAGCATGTAGGCTTCTGCCCCATCTCAGCCGCGCCAAGCTTGAAACTATCGTCCGGTTTTCGATAACCGTATTGAACCGTTCCTTTGCTAATGAAAACTCTTGGTGTATCTCGTTTATACTCACTCTCACTGGGTTACTGATACTATCTCACTAGTCATGGAGTAGAAGTAGCGAAATATGAGACCTAAATATAATATGGGCTCTGGTCTAAATTCATCCCTTGTCTCCAAATTGATAATGGGCACTTGACAATGTCTCACTTTTCATTCGTTGAAATTGTTTTCAATCAGTAAATTTCCAAACTTGTTTCAAGAAAAATAAATACAACAATTTAACCGGGTTTGTAGAAGGAAAATTATTGTCCAAAGATCATACTCAATAATAGTGGAGAGGGGAGGCGAAACACATTCCATACCTCTAGAGCATAGAGTCGCACAATCCAGTGAAGGGAGTGAAGGACTTCGAGTTCGAGAGTGTAAAATTTAAAATTTCTATATCCTTACTAACTTTCTCCCGCCTCTGAGAGAATAATTCTCAGAACTAAGAGTTAGGTTTTGGTTAACTGTAGACATGAGTCATTGAAATTGTTAGAAATTGTGAGGATGTGTTTCGCCCAAACCCCCCTATCCAGTCGTAAAAATAGATTAACCATAGTAATACTGTCACTAACTATTATTGCTTAGAATAGGATCAATTCGTTTTAAATCGTTAATAACATCATATCTTTTAGTATTCGTACCATATTGCATACGATATATCACGCCCTAATAAAGAACAATAACATCTAACAATCTCATTTCGCTTAAAAATATCTTTTTATCTAATATCACAAACAAATCTCACTTCGTTTTTCAATTTAGCTCAAAACCACAGTATATCTCATTGGTGACGTTTATTAGGTAATTTGTAACAATCAAAGTCTCTTTTATCAAGTGACTTATTATCATTCAAGTGACTTAATATCATAATCAAAGTCACTTTCATCAAGTTACTAATATTATCATTCAAGTGACTTAATATCATATAATCAAAGTCACTTTCATCAAGTCACTTAATATCACGATCAAAGTCACTTTCATCAAGTAATTTTTCATCATTTAAGTCACTTAATATTATAATCAAAGTCACTTTCACGAAGAAACTTTTCATCATTTAAGTCACTTAATATCACGATCAAAGTCACTTTCATGAAGAAACTTTTCATCATTTAAGTCACTTAATATCATAATCAAAGTCACTTTCATCAGAAACTTTACATCATTTAAGTCACTTAATATCATATAATCAAAGTCACTTTCATCAAGAAACTTTTCATCATTTAAGTCACTTAATATCATAATCAAAGTCACTTTCATCAAGAAACTTTACATCATTTGAGTCAGTTAATATCATATAATCAAAGTCACTTTCATCAAGAAACTTTTCATCATTTAAGTCACTTAATATCATAATTAAAGTCACTTTCATCAAGTAACAACATTAAACTTGAAATAATAATCCTCTTCCTCGCGTCAATATTATGTCTTTATCTTCTCTTCGGTTTACGTTTCTTCTATCTTCATTCTTCATCTGCACACTTTTTGGTGTTTTGGGAGGTGCTTGTGATGCAGACTTTCACAAATTGGATTTGAGACTTGAGTTGGGTTATGATGTATCACAGGTGCTGTCAAATTTCATCATCTCTGTTCTTTTATCGGAAAACTGGTTCAGACTTTAGTGCTGTTTAAGGTACGCACATAGGTTAAGTCATTACACTTGACATTTTATGAAAGTAATTAGCTTTTTATGCAAATTTACTTTCTCCTCGATTAGACTCTGATTCTCCGCCGTCTTGGTGTCGACTACAAATTTGTACTCTTCCTCCTTTACAGAAAAACCAGATCGTAACTCGACAACTTGTTTGTTGAGATTATCATTGTCCGCAGACTGTTTTTCCTTTTCCACAGTTAGGTTCTGAACCACCTCTCTGTAGTTGACCTCCATGGCATAAAAACTTGATCGTAACTCGACATTGTCTGCAGTCAGCTTCTCTTTTTCCACAGTTAGGTTTTGAACTGTTTCTTTGTTGCCGACCTCCATGGCATGGAGACTACACTGTAACTCGAAGAATTGTTTATTCAGTTTGTTATAGTCGTTGGTAAGGTTCTTAACCACATCTTTGTAGTTGACCTGACCATCCATTGCACAAAAACCTGACCGCAACTCGACGAGTCGTTTATTCAGGTTTTCATTCTTGGTGTTTAGATTCTGAAACACTTTTTTGTTGTGATCCTCGACATCGCTAAATTCAGACTGCATCTCGGTAAGACACTCTTTGAATCTCCTATTCAAGTCACGCAATGTCGTCATCTCTTTTTCGTGCTCTTGGATGGTTCCTGAAGAAACAGCTCGATAAGAAGCGAGCAACCAAGAAATTGTATCAAGTTCGTGAAATCGTTTTTAATAAAAAGCAGAGCAATAATCATATATTCTAATTTCAACCTGTTTTTGATAGGCTTTCGATGCAGATTGATATAACTTAAGCATGAGACTAGCAGTACTAAGAGTAAGAGTAAAAACCAATTTGAGTTACAAAAAACAGAACTCACTGAATAAATCATTTGCACGCTCAACAAAACGGGATCTATCATGCTCAACTTCCTTGTATCTCTCACACAGGTCAAGATACTGATTTTCTCTGAGCTTAGTTTCATCGTATGAAAGTTGAAGATAGTTCTCAACTGTTTGTTCTCTTTATCCGCGTTGCAGTTGCACAGGGCAATAGAGGTGTCGTCCCCGAGATCTGTTTCATCGATGATTGTAGATTCAGGGTCGACTGGTTTAAACTTTTCTTTGGACTCGCCTAAAGTAAAGAAACGGTTTGTTAAGAAACGAATAACCAAGAAATTGTTCGTAAAATCGTGTTCAATAATTAGCTGGCAAAATGAGCAGCAACAAAATTGCAGGTACTAAAAAAATGACTTACCGATTAAACCATTTACTCGCTCAACCAAACAAAATCTATCGTGCTCAACTCCCTGGTATCTCTCACGCAGGTCAAAATAATGATTCCTAATTTCGTCGTATGAAAGTTGAAGATCGTATATGTAGTTTCTCAATTGTTTGTTCTCTTTTTCCGCTTTACACAGGGCAATAGAGGTTTTGTCTTCGAGATCTACGTTATCACTATAATCAGTGATCGTAGAACTAGATTCAGGGTTGACTGGTTTAAACTTCGTTTTGTCATCGCCGACAGTTTCACATAGTACGGGTACCTAATAAAATAAGTATTAAACATATGAATTATGTGTTATGATCAACCCTTTATCCGTATAGTTTAGTTATTGGTCCTTAAGTGTTCGCAAGCACGACAAGGCAATGGGCCATTGCATTGTTAAAATATATTATTATATTTATATGATAACCCAGGCACCAGGGCCTGGCGTGAATTAGCGCGCGCATAAATGCTAAAAATATAATTTTGTAATTTTTAAACGGAGGTGGGAAATAAAAATATTAGTTCAATTTAAAATAAACTGTAACGCAATGAAATTATAGAACTAAAAATTAGATGCACAATAATTGATAATGAACTTTTTGTTTAATGCTTCATCACAAAAATTATTTCTTTACAATAATACAAGCAAGTAAAACTATATAATAACTGGCCAAATTAAATCCTTCGGCTTCCTGTAATTGGCTAGTTACATTTGTGTAACAATGTGGCACAAATAACTGGCCAAATTAAATCCTTCGGCTTCCTGTAATTGGCTAGTTACACTTGTGTAACAATGTGGCTGTTGGAATACTCCGAAGTAAAATAAGTGTGAGATAAAAAACTATATAATAAGCGCGCCCGCCGCGCAGTGGATTATGACTGATTGACAAAATTACAAATAAACGCGAATCAAAAAGTTTTATTAAGGAGCAGGTAAAAATACGTAAAAACGTTGCTACGCGTAACCATGCACCTCTATGACTGATTTAATCTGGTTTGATCACCCATGCCAGAATTGTGATTGAGTCGTAAATCGAAATTTTAACCCTTGAATATTTCTAAAAGTATTTCTTGGCCTTTAACACTTATATATGTTATTTAGTTAATCAAATTTTAATGTATCGAGGAGATTTCAAGTTTTGAATGGTTATTTGGAAATTGAAATGTAACTTGCAAATTGAATTGGCCCACAAAATCAATCAGGGATGATCGCTGACCAAAATACAAAATATAAAAGATGGCAGCTAAATTATGGCTCTTGATCTTACTAATTCGCTCGCCCAAAAATTTCACGTGACTTTGGTTTTTATGGTTTTGCAGCCGTACAAAACGGTTTTACATAAACCCTAATCCCAACCCTAACCCTAACCATAACCCCGAAGCTATCCATAACCCTTACCACAACCCTAACCCTAACCCGAGCCCTAAACACTCGAATTCATGTTTTACTAGCCTGTCACGTGACCAAAACGGTTTTTTGCCCATAACTCTCCAGGGAAGCATTTTTACCCTACGTCATGGGGGGTGATTCGGAATCAGCGTCCAAAAAGACATCTATTCAGATCGATTTCACACCCAAAGGGCCTTTTCACAAGAATTTTCTTAAAATTTGGGCGAGCGATTTAGTAGGAGCGCTAAATTATTAAAACGTTCGAAAAGATGAATAAATTAAATATTAACCTCGACGTCAGACTCAAAAGCGATGCCCGAATCATTAGTTTCTACGCTTGTAGGGGTAGCATGAGCTTGGCCATTGTCAGTACTTGGCTGGTGTTTTCTTTGTTCGATCAGAAGGCATCGTGCATCAAAATTTACTAGAGTGGCCTGAAAACAGATAACTTATATTTAGAATTTGCAATCTGCTGACAAATTTTCTGTTTCGTAATGTACATTGTATTTATAAATATAATGAAAATAGAAAATAAAAACCAATTAATAAAAAAATATCTTTGCTATGCTCATTACGCAACTCTGTACTGGCTTGCTAATACTTTATTGATTATAATAATTGGAATTATGTTCATGGTTGATGGTTTTAAGGCATTCAACTAAAAAGACTCAATCTTTAATCAGGTCTTACCTCAGAATCACTCGAGCAGTCCATTGAGTCCATTTCACTTGCAATTGTAGTCCGAGCTGTAATATTCAATAGCTCTTCTTTCACTTTCGACAGTTCCTCTTGGAGAAGCTTATTCTTTTCTATCTCCTCTTGGGTTTTCACCTGTTCATAGTAGAGATTCCACTGTTCTTGACAAGTCTTTTGTTGCTCTTCAGCAACTGTCTCATTCAATCGAGTAATTTGTGTCTTAAGGCTCGCGTTTTCTGCATTAACCTCGACGTCAGACTCAAAAGTGATGCCCGAATCATTAGTTTCTACGCTTGTAGGGGTAGCATGAGCTTGGCCATTGTCAGTACTTGGCTGGTGTTTTTTTTGTTCGGCCAGAAGGCATCGAGCATCAAAATTAACTAGAGGGGCCTGAAAACAGATAAATTATATTTAGAATTTTCAATCTGCAGACAAATTTGCTGTTTCGTAATGTACTTGTATTAATGAAAACAAAAACCAATTAATAAACAAAACATATCTTTGCTATGCTCATTACGCAACTCTGTACTGGCTTGCTAATATTTTATTGATTAGAATTTGGAGTTATGGTCATGGTTGATAGTTTTAAGGCATTCAACTAAAAAGACTCAATCTTTAATCAGGTCTTACCTCAGAATCACTCGAGCAGTCCATTGAGTCCATTTCACTTGCAATTGTAGTCCGAGCTGTAATATTCAATAGCTCTTCTTTCACTTTCGACAGTTCCTCTTGGAGAAGCTTATTCTTTTCTATCTCCTCTTGAATTTTCACTTGTTCATAGTGGAGATTCCGCTGTTCTTGACAAGTCTTTTGCTGCTCTTCAGCAACTGTCTCATTCAATCGAGTGATTTGTGACTTAAGGCTCGCGTTTTCTGCATCCTATTAAAAATCAATCAATAGAAAAACGTATGATCTGTACCTCTATACTATCAACTATGCTCATTACGGCTTACGCTACTGTGTACTGGCTTGATAATACTCTATGCTTAACCCCTTGATTAGTATGGTAATGGTTTTAAGGCAGTAAACTAAAACGACTCAATCTTGAACAAGGTTTTACCTCAGAATCACTCGAGCAGTCCATTGGGTTCATTTCACTTGCAACTGTAGTTCGAGCTGTAATATTGGATAGCTCTTCTTTTACTTTCGACAGTTCCTCTTGGAGAAGCTTATTCTTTTCTATCTCTTCTTGGGTTTTCACCTGTTCATAGTAGAGATTCCACTGTTCTTGACAATTCTTTTGTTGCTCTTCGGCAATTGACTCATTCAATCGAGTGATTTGTGACTGAAGGCTCGCGTTTTCTGTATCCTTATTCCACATCTCTTGTTCGAGTTTTTCTATTCTTTCTTCTGGAGAACAGTGCTTTGTCTCCTCATCTTGAAACTGCTCTTTTGATTCCTCTCCTTTTGTTAGTGAAGGTAATACAGGTTCCAATATTTTCTGGTCTTCGCACGAAAACTTGGCTTGCTGCTAAAATTTTGTTGAGATTATAACATTTGTTGTAGTAATCATTTGAGAATGTTATGATTTAAAAAACCTCTATTACCACTAATGTACTGCTATCCTTTAACCCTGGTCTGATGGAGAAGGCTCAGGCTTCATATCTTGACGAAATGAGCTTCCGAGCCCTAGACTTTAATCGGGCAGACTTTGAACCGATTACTGAGATCCTGAACAGAGTGAATTGGAAGGACTTGAGAGACGCAAGCACTTTTGAAGAATTTCCCGCAGAGTTTACACGGACAGTGCTTAATATATGCCTGGAAAATGTTCCTCGGAAACGACCACCAACTGGCCAGCCGAAGCTTTATAATTCGCTGAGAAGGAAGAAGTCACGACTTAAAACCCGTCTCTCTGCTGCAAAGTGTGCCAATGACCTAGCTCGAATCAAAAAACTTGAAGACGAAATTGGATTAATTTGCTATGAGATCAAGGAAGCTATAGTCCACCATCTTGATAAAGGTGAAAAGAGAGCAGTGGATAAAATTAAAGTCAATCCTAAATACTTTTACTCATACGCTAAATCTTTTTCTAAAGTTAAGCACAATATTTCAACTCTTTTAAACCGTGATAAGAAACTGGTAACTGAACGGAAAGAGTTAGCTAATATACTGCAGCAACAGTTCTGTTCTGTCTTTAGTGACCCCAACTGCCCTGATAAGTCACTACCTACATTTACAGTACCACCTCTCACTAGTAGGGATACAGAACTGGTACTCACACCTAACCACATCGCGGAAGCTATATCTGAGATTAAGCTGGACTCTGCACCCGGACCCGATGGTATTCCTGCTATTCTCCTCAAAAGATGTGCTTCAAGTTTGAGTGTTCCGATTCATCTCCTCTGGTCTGAGTCCATGTATACAGGCATAGTCCCAAGTTTCTACAAGACTGGATATGTCACACCGCTTTTCAAGAAAGGTAGCAGGTGTGATGCTGCTAACTACAGACCGGTTACTCTGACCTCACATGTAGTCAAAGTCTATGAAAGAGTGGTTAGGAAACACATGGTTCAGTATCTCGAAACCAACAATTTGTTATCTGACAAACAACATGGTTTCAGATCGAACAGAAGCTGCTTGACCCAAATGCTCGATCACTTTGATGACATCTTTGAAGGGTTTACTCAGGGGAAAGACACAGACTCTATATACCTCGACTTCGCCAAGGCGTTTGATAAAGTTGACTTGGACCTTCTCTTGTTGAAGTTAAAGAGATACGGATTTCATGGCAAACTTCTAAGCTGGATCCAGTCATTTCTCTCTGACCGTGAACAGGTTGTAGTCCTAAACGGTGTTCATTCGAACAGTGCCAGGGTTCTAAGTGGTGTCCCTCAGGGAAGTGTGTTAGGACCACTATTGTTCATTTTGTTTATTAACGATCTAGAGCTAGCTGTTACCTCTTCTAAGGTAAGCTTCTTTGCTGACGATACTAGGGTCTCCAAACGTATCGATTGCTATGAGGACTGTCTGCTGCTTCAGGCTGATCTGTACGGTATTCTCGACTGGTCACGCTGCAACAACATGAAGCTCCACGAACAGAAGTTTGAGCTCCTGAATCATCTCCACAATAGAAAGAGTACCTTTTCTGAACTCCCTTTTTACGTGGAAACTCTACTTTACAAGGTCTCCAGCGAGGAAATACTACATCCCGTTGAGAACGTTAGAGACCTCGGAGTTATGGTATCAAGCGATCTGAACTGGTCCAAACAGATCGGTAATATGGTCAAGAAAGCTAGAAGCACACTGTCATGGGTGTTTAGTGTCTTCAAAACTCGTGATAGGACCGTAATGACTACCCTATATAAGTCTTTGGTCAGAAGCCTACTAGAGTACTGTTGTCCGCTGTGGGACCCTGTTAAGGTGACTGAGATCCAGCTTTTGGAGGGGGTCCAGCGAACATTCACCGATCGTATATGCGGTCTGGAAAATATGAACTACTGGGAGAGGCTTTCACATCTAAAGCTAATGTCACTGCAGCGCAGAAGGGAACGGTACACTATTCTGATGATGTGGAAGATCCTTCACAATGTTGTCCCCAATTGCAGCAATATAAGGTTCACAAAAACATCCAGACATGGTACCCGAGCAATCATCCCTTCCCTGTCTAGGTTGAGTTCCTCGAGCAACCAGACACTCTATGACAGCTCATTTGCTGTAAGAGGACCAAAACTGTGGAACAAAGTGCCTGATAATATTAAAGCTGAAGCTACGTTTGAGTCGTTTAAAGTTAGTTTGTCCAAGTTTATTGCTTTGATACCGGACAACCCTCCGACTTCCGGTTATAGCTGCAGCTGGTCTAATTCCCTGGTAGACTACTCGCCATCGAGGTGGTCAGAAATCTGATGACCCTTCCTGCTACGAGGATAAACACAACCAAAGTAACCAAAGTAAGTAACAATGAACTATGTGATAACTTCATCAAATTTAGATCATTAAATTGAAAAGGATAAAGCTAGGCTACAAATAACAGCTTATATGATTGAAATCAAAACCACCATTTAAAGCGGGTAAACTTTTTTTAAACATACCGGCCGGCACCAAGATTCTTCATCCTGAATGTACTGAAACCCACGAGGCTTTGAGTGTGACAGAGATTCAGGCGATTCAAGAGACGTTTTGACAAGTTTACGCTCTTCGACCTTCTCCTTTTTCTTACTTGTCAAATGCGAATTCTGTAAGAAAAAATAGTTCAGAACACCTTAGTTTGGTGTTCCGCGCTTGACCCTATTTGAGATTGCAACTGACAAAAACAACTGCGGCGTGTAAAATGTTGGCTATGAACTTAATCAAAATTAAAACTAATAAAATCTAAACAGTTGAACTTTGAACTTCAAACTCGCAAACGATGCAATGTAACGCGGAATACTGCCCTTCGTCAAAGTTATTAAAAAAGCCATATAAACAAATCGGTTTACCGAAAATAGTTTTCGTGGATTCAAAATAAAAGATGCACATCAAGTTTTCAAGAAAACTAATGAAATTGAATTGTGTTAACTATCACTGAACACTAAACAGGCCGGAAAGGATTAACAATTTAATTTTACTTACATTGTCACTCAGTGCTTCTTTGCTGATTGTCTGTCCCATAATGAATTGAATGACAGACCGTTGTTGAATGCTGATTAACTTTAAGTTTTAGACTTTCCTTTACTGAACGAACGAACGAGTGGACGGCAACCGAATTTATTAAAAACAATCACAGAACTGAGGTTTCACGTGTGAGGGAAGCTTTTAACAGCGCCTTGGTATGTTGCCATAGAGAACGCGTGCGCGCGTGACCCGTGCAAGTAACGAGGTCCAGCATGCATGGCACTATATATTACAGATTCTTTTATTTTGCTTTACGTTTATTGCTTGTATCACGTTGCGACCCCCACGGTCGTTTCACTATGGTACAGGCGGGTCATACAACGTATGACAATTTATTGCTTATCTTGTTTCGAGTTCGTAATCAGTAATGCTCGGTAGTGGATCTATTCATTATCAAAATTCAGTCAACTCAAGCCCATAATTGTTTAAACTTAAATATTGAACTTTGAACGGTCTATAACTTGTAACTTAATTTTTGTGATTGCTAAAATCCCACAAAATGGTTTAGTATATCGTTTTTAGTGGCGGACATTGCCATCAGGTCACTCTGGTTCGATTCATTTCCTCTGGCACAGTAAGATGAAGAGTGAAGACGTCTCAAAGTCAAACTCTGAGGACCCCAGGTTGACGGCATGTTTATACTTGTCACGTTCATACTTCATTGCAAAATGTTCCATACTTTTTCTTCTGGTATTAACTGAGAGAAACTGTCTCGAATTACATTCAGAATTGATTCAAATTTAGTTAGTGTTTTAGATGATACCTCAGAAGTTCCTATCTATTAGGAATCTATCATTTCCAATATGGGTATTTCATTTGTCTCAATCGTTTGAATATGCAACATATACATTTTAGTGTATATGTCACGCCTAAACCGCTGCCGCCGATTTTAACCACGCCGCCGCCGTTTTGAAAAAAAACGGCGGCGTGAAGCACTGGTTGCTACTGTGCTTCAGTAGATTTTCATTTAGGTTAAAATCTCCATGTTACGTCATGTGTATTGTGTTTGCGAGAGTGTCTTCCCAAGTTATATTTCTATATCTTTTCGAAGTTGATCAATATTTTTGAAACGGGATCTGATATTCATGGAAATGTTTTAAGTTGAGAGGATGTCGACCTTTTCACGTTACGTTGCTGTTTATACTGACAGTGAGTTAAGAAAGCCGGCTATTTTTTCTACAAGCATATTGTGTTTTCCACGTACTAAATGAAACACAACACTACAGCATGTGATTGATAACAGCAAATTAACTTTTTTTATCAGAAAATAAGGATGTTCTAAAATATTGTCCGTTTCCTTTGGTTCAGTCGTTTAGGTTTTATATTGATAACTCGATATTATGTTAGATGTGAATACTGGCGGGGAGGTGAACAATATTTGATTGGCACATGACAGTGATGCTGGGCTTTGATTGGTTAATTCTGGAATCTGATTGGTTAGTCTCTGTCACGTGTCAAAATCAATATTTTTCACCTCCCCACCAGTATACAAATTACAAATCAATATTGGGCGATAAACCGAGATTATCAATTATTATAATTTATTTAGGACTTAGCTGGTCCTATTTTGACCAAAAAGTAATGACAGCTTCGGGGCCAAGAGTATTGCTACCATTTCTGATTTTATTTTCCGACGAGGTAATTTGAGACAAATATCGATTAACACTAGCCCTGCAGCGAAGATTGCTATGACCAAGAATGAAACACAGTACGAGAAATACCTGCGGAATGGGAGTGAGATATTTGAAACCTACTGTTCAACTGGAGACAAACATTCCATCATGTTACCCAGAGCTCCTCAACAAAAGTATGTAGACCTTTACCCTGAAGATCAGCCCGGATGTAGTTTTGAAAATGATAGAAACCAGCAACTCAACTACGAGGCTGAGGTTATTGTATACAGAGCTTTAGAGAAACTAAGTGGTGGAGATTTTATTGTTCTTCATAGTTTTGAATATACTCATTTCCAATATTATCTGGGAGATTTAACCCATGTTAAACGAAAATGTACAGAGTGTAAGAAGAGAGCAACTAACAGAGAAGGCGAGTGCGACTTTGTAGTGATAACACCAAACTGCTTTGTAATTATTGAAGTGAAGAATATGGGTCATATCGGGAATCAATCAGAGACTGGGTGTAACAGTAATCAACAGTCGCAAGCATTGGCCAAAACTTTCCAGAAATCACTGCACCAGAGGAACATGATGGTAGAATTTGACATTTGTTAAAAGATTTTGTAAGCGGTTAACAGTTCTCCAGTTTACCGTTTACCCCAACTTTGAAAAATTATCCAAGAAAGAATTTCTGATAAGCAAGGGTCAACTTTCATCAATAATTTTCAAGGAAGATTTGGAAGACTTTAGTGATTGGTGGAAAGACAATGTAAGTGATCTAGTTTTGGATGAGCCTTTGCATCCTGAGTTTCGCACCAAACATGAAGATGTTAGGAACTTATTATTAGCTATGTGGTGCACAGACAAGACCATTTGTGATAAGTCCAAATGTAGTTTGGGTAAGTGTATAGTGAACATCAACGAACAACTGCGTTCAGGAAAATTTACCTTCAGGAGCAACAACCCTGACGTTATTCCATCACCGAAGATCGTCAAAGACTTTTTAGGAATAGACAACTTGATTAAACAACAGTACGATTTAATAAACTCAGACGAGCAGTTCTTGTGGATCAATGGACCCGCTGGAGCCGGTAAAACTGTCGTACTACTAGCTAAGATACTACAATTAGTATTGTCAAGTGAGGACAACAAAGTAGTGTTATTCTGTGACATGTGTGCCATCAATGAAGTCATGACATCCCCAGAACATCTACGAAAGCTGCTAGAAAAAGCAGGTGTTAAGCACGTTTTTGCTGTTGCTACAGATAAATTGAAATCTGAAATCTATCTTTCTACCCTTGATAGAGAAATGATTAATGAACCTGCTGATGAATTCTCTCGTAGAATAAAAGACTATCTTAATGACAATCAAGTAGTCATAATAAAGCTTAGTGAGCTTGATCTTGAAACATTCCCTAAAATTTTCCATAGTATTGATAATACGAAACTAATAAATTGTATACGTTTTTTTCAAAGAAAAGGAATTCACGTGTTTTCCGACGATATTCAAGGAGGGATATGGTGGGATATGGTAAGAGAAAACATGACTAATGACTATGAGATATTTAAAGTATTGTTCGAACTGTCATGTTCTTGTCATGTTTGGATCGCATGTGACATCCTACAAAACCCTATTTATATTGATGATGAAGAGACAACTTTAAGACACGACTCTAGACTAGCTAGATTTTTTAATGACGAATTGTCATCTACACAGCTTGTAAGTCTATCAAAGAACTTGAGAAACACCTCTGATTTGTCGAGAACATTGTCAGTAATTCGAGAACATATCATTGAGCCGGGACACATTGTATCAACGTTTAGAAATGATTTCGCAATTTTACAAGCCCATGGACACTACATACATGGACCAAAAACTATCGTACATGTTCTGCAAAAGTTTGACGAGAAACTTCTATATGATATTTTTGCCAAAGAATTTAATGAATTATGTTTTGATGATATGATAGATGGTAATGATGTGGGTATTCTTGACACTTGCTATTATGATACATTTAAAACAAATGTGGATGGGATGCTGTTTTCAAAAAATATTACACCAAGGAGATTGACGTCGACATATTCAAAAGAATGGCCAGTAGTTATAGCACTGCGCAGGTTAATAGATCAATTTGATCCTATCGTTGAGCCACTGACTACATTTTTTTATCTCAATTCTTATTTTACTTCGGACATTCCAACAGCCACATTGTTACACAAGTGTGTAACCAGCCAATTACAGGAAGCCGAAGGATTCAATTATACATTAGGCCAGTGACGGTTAAGGTAGTGTGTACCATACTTTCTTCGCCCGAGACTTTGCTGCAATGGGCAGCTCCTCATTTAACCCTCACACCCGATTTCTCGAGTATTTGGCTGAGTGGACCGGGGGGCTGCATAGACCACTCAGGATCCTTAGCTGAGCGTCGACGACGCTCACCCCACGGCTAGTGGCAGAGTCGGGAATCGAACCTGGTACCTCAAGCAATACCAGGCCTGGATTAACCAACTGAGCCACTAAGCCGTTAGTAGTAAAAAAATGTCAATGGATACAGAACATTTATATATTGCCATGTCACGAGCAAGAGTTATGTGCACAGTTATTATGTTTCCTTCAAAACGTATGATCTTTGATAATTATCTTCGCATGAAAAGTTTACTTAATAAGCTCAAAGATTCTGTTGAAGTAAGATATCATTAACACTTCAAACTTTAAAATACAGATCATTAACTGAACCAGATTAATTTATAATTCATAATTCAAATATTTTGTGAATAAACATCATGATAAATTTGATAAGTGTAAAGCCTGATGTTGTACTGCTTTTTATTCGTTTGTAGTTGATGATAATTCCAAAGTTCTTGAAGATGTTGTTCACCAGTTGTATTATGTAGCAGTGACCTTGCAACCTAAACAGAATTATAATTATGTGTAATAATTACATTATAACTGTTTTATTCAGTTATCATGTGTGACAACCGGATTATCACTTTACAACTCATAAAACTAAATATTCGACTAAATCTCCCATGGAGGGGGGGGGGGGGGCTGCATGCAACCCCTAGCCAGGGGTGTAGGAAGCGGGGGGGGGGGGGGGGGGGGGGGGGGGGGCAGGGGGCGGGGGGGCCATCGCTCCCCATAAAATCTGGGCAAGGGACCAAAAAGGGTAAACTTTTTAATATAGGAAACTAATTTTGTTCATGTTTCATGCTACCATCATCATTATGAGCCGAAAATATTTTTTCGGTTTTCTTTCGAAGTCCGCACCTCACACCTCACACCTACCCCTTCGAATACGATTTTGAGCTCGAGGGCTCCCCTTCGCAATACGAGCTCGGAAGCGGGAGCTCTGCCTTCAGAGGTACGTATTGAGAATTTGACTCGGATCGAAAATTTTCTAAGTCAACATTTTTCGAAGTTTTTCTTGAATCGACTTTTGTTCATGTTTCATGCTACCCTGATCATTATGAGCCGGACATTTTTTTTTCGGTTTTCTGAAGTCCGTACCTACATTCGGAAGGCTGTGGATGTGATTGGTTTCATATATTTATAGAAAAAGTGATATTTGGCCCGCAGATTTGAAGGAAATTACGCGAATTTGGTCCTCAGATTTTCATTTAAGGGAAAATGCGCAATTTGTCACGGAGAACTGAAAAAATCGTGATTCCGCACATGCCGAAATTCTAAAAATATTTAGAATTTTGAGGTTATAGCCCTGAAAGTATTGCTCTCTTAGTTGTGTAACTGTAATGGCTAGACACTGTCCTAGAAGGTGCGGCTCTTACTAATTCGCTCGCCCAAAATTATCACGTGACTTTGGTTTTTATGGTTTTGCAGCCGAACAAAACGGTTGTACATAAACCCTAATACCAATCCTAACCCTAACCATAACCCCAAAGCTATCCATAACCCGTTACCACAACCCTAACCCTGACCCGAGCGCCAAACAATCAAATTCGTGGTTTACTAGCCTGTCACGTGACCGAAAAACAAATAATAGTGTAGTTCATTTTATGAGTTTCTTTTCAAATTTCAGGTTAAGCTTATATCGTTTGGCATGCTGAGTATATTTATAGTATACTTATAGTCCTCTTACCATGATTCAACCTATGCTTTTCCCCCGAAGTGTTCGTTAATGGTACAAGTTAGCATAACTAAAGCCCGAGATCCTCCGGTAAAGTTTGATTTACAATTTAATTAGTCGAGCAGTGATTCAGTAAAACTCCGTAAATATAATCTAATATGACAATAACATATGTCTATTAACATAGCGTTACAGCAATACTAATACTTGTAATGAAACAATAAAAATGTAATATAACGGTATAACGGTAACTTAGTGAGTTACAGAAGAATTGATCCTAAAAGAGATTACGTTACATTTCAAGTCCTTTCTGGTCCAATAACACCTAAAACAATCAAAACAATCGCGTTTTGAAGAAAATCACTTCTACAAGTCTAGATTGAAGCCTTCAGTCAGTTTCGTTCATTAATTAATGAACAAACCACAGCAATCTGTGCAAGACTAACAACCAAGCCCACTATAACAGCATGATAAGGGTCAAGGAAGACAGCGAGAGCGGTACTTACTACACCACCTACTAGACATCCTATTTCCATCAGGGAACCACCCAAAGACAGGCCAGCCAGTCCAAAATATTCCACATCGTAGTTTTGGTCCCTGCATCGAATAACACAATTTTCCTATTCCCATCATTATGCATTCTACAAGTAAGCAAGGTCTTGCAAGAATGATCCCATAAGATATGGCGAATCCGAGCATGAAGGTAGTTTGAAGCGTTATAAACTTGAAATGTGGTCTAAGAAAAAATCCTATCGGCCTTCCTATGATGTTGGCAAGGCCATTGACCGCAGCAAGGATCATATATTGATCTCCATGTATGACTTGCTCACAATTATCGACATCTACAGATACGTTGGTTAGATTGTAATTCCTGATGAGTGATGGAAGGAGCATGACACTCCCATATCCTAGGAAGATGTTAAAGCCTCCGAAAAGGCTCGCCTTAAGAACTCTCACAGCAAAGTTTTCAACAGACTGAGATCCATTTTGATCTTTGAGAAGGCTTGTTGATTCATTAGCTGTGACTTCTTCGTCAAAGAAACAATGTAGCATCAATATTGGTGGGATGAACAAAGGAATAGAAGTAAGAAGAACAAACGTCCGCCATCCTATTTTATCTAGAAAAAACCAACCCAGCAGCGACGCCCAACCAGAACCAAACGTAAATGCAATGCAGTCATGAATGAAAGAAAATGTTGGTAGAATCTTTTTAGAAGAAACATGTTTTGCACCGAAAACTCCAATTGTTGTCGTGTTTAATCCACAGCCAAATCCTATGAGAGCTCTAGAAAGTAGAAAAGTATAATAATTGGGAACCAACGAGCAGAATATGGTAAATATTATGGAGCCATACAGTGAAAAAAGCAGGGTGGTTTTATCACCGCATTTCTTCGCCAGCGGAACAGCAGTTAGTGTACCGATACCTGCAAATACATAAATGATTGTAGCAGAGGTCCCTTCCTGGAAAAAGGAGACCCCAAGCTCGCAAGAAACCTTCTGTGTAATTACGCCGGGCAGGTATAATTCCACAGCATCCCCAAACTTGATCAGCATCGCCAGTACAAGGAAACAGTAATCGTTTTTTGTCCATCTCGAATTATTTTGGTGGGGCGTTATCTCAGACTCATCTTGAACGGTCATTCTCCTGGATTAATGCCAATAAACAAATTGAAGAAAGAATCCATTGTTGGACTTGTACAGTGTACTAGAACAGTTTTTTCGGATCTACATCGGTCAAACCGCAATTGAAATGTGAACTGGTTGCATTAGAGTTCAAATAAACAGCAATATAAATGGACTACGAAATACGATCAGACGAAAAAAGGCGTGAGTACCATCGTAAATTGAAATATGCAGGGCACAACATATAAGTGCGGCACATATTCGCAACAGTTGTTTTCCGCACTTTTTCGCACAAGTTGGAACTTCCCGCACAATTTTAGGTGTAAAAACCAAAAGTATATCGAAAAACTGGGCCGAGTTCAGTTAAAAACTGGGGCGAGTTTACTCATGCATGGCCGAGTTTAGTCAAAATCTGGGTCAAATTCAGTCGCAACTGGAGTATGGACCGAGTTTAGTAAAAAATTACTACAGCATGCCAAATGATCCTCGTTACCATGTGTTGTTACCTGTACTTGCTGTAAACGAATCTGCCTATTGATCATCGTCTGCTTTCACACTAATTGATACAAATTTGCCAAAAAGTGATTACGTAACGATCTTACGATCTTGAATATACAGCTTTTGTAATTGGCCTGTTTCATTGTAAAAATGGAGCTGCTTGGAGAAACTTAATTTAAATAAGTATCTAGATTTTAAAAAAGAACCAAATATTAGATCAATACTTGATGTATGCTGTGTACACTGTACATTGTACAATGAAATAAGATGAACATGCCCGTAACTATGGTTAAAATAAAACGTTTTCATGACGTAACATCAGAAACATCGGAAAGTAGAACTATTTTTTAAATCAGGAAAAGCATATATAGAAAGTTCATTAATATTATTATCAGATAACAAGTTGATAATGCATTGACTTTTAATGATACTGATATTTGATGAAAAACAAAAGAGGGCGAATCATCGCAAATTAATAACTTGTCAAGCTGGATCACAATCCCTCAACAGATTGAAAATGAGGCACTTTAGGTTATACACATTACACATGTATACTGCACCAACAATTTGTTGGAATATTATAAATAATACTACGAGTATGCCTCAATTATTATACTCATTGCCAGCTCAATTAGCCCCATACCAGTCATATAATTGTAAAACCTTCTATGAGGGTAGTTCTGTATATTTATACATCTTGAATTGTCAGGAATCTCAGCGAACGATAATAACTAGACAAACGAATAATTCAACCTGAGAGTACCTAAACTCAGCTTAATTGCGGTGTTCCAAATTTGCCGCACATAGAAACGTTTTGGTGTTTAGGCAGGTGCGGAATCGCCCTTTTTGCAAAATATTACCGCACCTAAATGTAGCCTCTGCAAAAGATTGAAGACCATAGGAGGACCATACATATTCCTCTCCAGTAGAGGTGAGCCACTTTGTGGCAGTTTTCACAGCAGTTTGCTCGGCCATAAGTGTCAGACATCAACGTGTCATGTTGGATACTCTTGTTCTGAACAAAATCTGAATGCAACTCCAAGAAGTCCTCGCATTTAACAGAATCACTTTTAAGTTTCATGACATTCTCAACACTGGCCTTAGGAGCTTTCAGCTCATTAAATGAAAACAAGTCTAAAACATTGGTAACAGAATTCAGCTCCATAGTGATGGGTGGAAGAGGGGGGAGAAAATGGCGGTGAGGGAGGAGAAAATGGCGGTGAAGTGAATACTTTAGCCCAGGAAGTGATGCGTTGCTAGTAGATACACACGGTCACGTCATCGTCTCTTCTATTGCTTTTACATTGGGACCTCAAATTATTTGTAATATAGAAATGTTGAAAGTATTAAACACTACAACCAACATTATTTATTTGTTCGGAAATTAGGACGATTACCAATCATGTTTTTAGTGACCAAATTGAATAATCGGAATGAATCCTCTAAATTTTTTTAAATGCAAAAAAACACGATTTGGTAACATCATAAAAACAGTTTGCGGATTGACGATTCGGCAATGAATTAGTATTACGCAACTAGGAATTAGTTTAGTCAGATGAAAGAGATTTTATGGAAGTCAATAGATATTTAAAAAAAAAATGATAAACACTTTTTGTATAAAAGCTGGGCAAATATTCCATATTCGGACGTTATCATAAAATGGATATAAAACAAACCATATTATCCTATTTATCCTTATCCTGCTAAAATATCCAGTACCAATCTTTTAAAAATTATTTATCAAACGGCACACTCGTAAATCACAATTATCGACATCTACAGATACGTTGGTTAGATTGTAATTCCTGATGAGTGATGGAAGAAGCATGACACTCCCATATCCTAGAAAGATGTTAAAGCCTCCGAAAAGGCTCGCCTTAAGAACTCTCACAGCAAAGTTTTCAACAGACTGAGATCCATTTTGATCTTTGAGAAGGCTTGTTGATTCATTAGCTGTGACTTCTTCGTCAAAGAAACAATGTAGCATCAATATTGGTGGGATGAACAAAGGAATAGAAGTAAGAAGAACAAACGTCCGCCATCCTATTTTATCTAGAAGAAACCAACCCAGCAGCGACGCCCAACCAGAACCGAACGTAAATGCAATGCAGTCATGAATGAAAGAAAATGTTGGTAGAATCTTTTTAGAAGAAACATGTTTTGCACCGAAAACCCCAATTGTTGTCGTGTTTAATCCACAGCCAAATCCTACGAGAGCTCTAGAAAGTAGAAAAGTATAATAATTGGGAACCAACGAGCAGAATATGGTAAATATTATGGAGCCATACAGTGAAAAAAGCAGGGTGGTTTTATCACCGCATTTCTTCGCCAGCGGAACAGCAGTTAGTGTACCGATACCTGCAAATACATAAATGATTGTAGCAGAGGTCCCTTCCTGGAAAAAGGAGACCCCAAGCTCGCAAGAAACCTTTTGTGTAATTACGCCGGGCAGGTATAACTCCACAGCATCCCCAAACTTGATCAGCATCGCCAGTACAAGGAAACAGTAATCGTTTTTTGTCCATCTCGAATTATTTTGGTGGGGCGTTATCTCAGACTCATCTTGAACGGTCATTCTCCTGGATTAATGCCAATAAACAAATTGAAGAAAGAATCCATTGTTGTAATTGTACAGTGTACTAGAACAGTTTTTTCGGATCTACATCGACCAAACCGCAATTAAAATGTGAACTGGTTGCATTATAGTTCAATTAAACAGCAATATAAATGGACTACGAAATACGATCAGACGAAAAAAGGCGTGAGTATCATCGTTAATTAAAATATGCAGGGCACAACATATAAGTGCGGCACATATTCGCAACAGTCGTTTTCCGCACTTTTTCGCACAAGTTGGAACTTCCCGCACAAAAAACACGATTTGGTAACATCATAAAAACAGTTTGCGGATTGACGATTCGGCAATGAATTAGTATTACGCAACTAGGAATTAGTTTAGTCAGTTGAAAGAGATTTTATGGAAGTCAATAGATATTTTTTAAAAAATGATAAACACTTTTTGTATAAAAGCTGGGCAAATATTCCATATTCGGACGTTATCATAAAATGGATATAAAACAAACCATATTATCCTATTTATCCTTATCCTGCTAAAATATCCATTACCAATCTTTTAAAAATTATTTATCAAACGGCACACTCGTAAATCATAAGGGGCAAAATTTATTCTTTCAATTGTCAAAACACTGTCACTGTGACAGTGTGACTATATGCATAGAACAGGCACATAAAAGTAAAATTCATGATCGTGAAATCACACGAAAAATTGAAACTGCAAGTCAAATGTACGAGATATTGCACACTATACAGTTAAAACTTGAAAAGGAAATAAGAATGGTTACCAAGGACCACATAAAGTGCTTTTGGAACTTTAAATGGTTTTTGGTTATAACAAGTTTTTATACGTATCTGGGTAATCTGTCTCTCAAACAATTCACTGTCGTTAACTCAAATGTTTCTCTCGGTGGCTTTTATTCGTGTTTTTGTGAGTCGTGACCATACCTTTCACGCCTGGACATCTAAACGTATGCTCATACTCATGTCTTAGTGTCTTGGTCTTCTTCGTTTCTTCCTGAGTTTGTTTCATCTATCCTTGGACCTGCCAGATTGAATAAAATTGTCATGGTCTTGACATTTCTAATATCATGCTCATTAGAAAATGTCAGAATAATGCAGTTCAACCAATCATGGCTTATTAAAAACACTCAGGATATTTACCTTGGCTAGAAGCAATAGCATTGCTGGATATCAACTGTTTAGAGCCCAATATCCAAGACAAGAGAAACTCTCTGAAGCTAGTAACTGTCAAGCTGTAGACGTAGAAGTTGCTCATAGTGTTGAAGTAGAGACAGGAAAGGGAGATCCTGAGGTATTCGTTGTGGAAGAAACTCTTTGTATCTGCCAATCTAGGGCCAACAAAAGAGTAGATGGCGTAAGGTAGGAGTGATAAGCAGTAGATGACTGCAATAAGGATGATAGTTATGATGCCTTGCCATTTGATAGTGTGCCTCCCTTGACTAGCGACTTTCTTTGCAATGATGAGCAAATTTACGGTAGCAGCGATAACTAGAAAATTTGGAATGACCATGAAAACCGTGGACAGCAATGGTCTTAGCCATTTCCAGATGACAGAGGAATAACCAAACTCACAGTTGTATGCTCTGTGATCGTAGATTTGATCACTTTTGTCTACCAAGAAGAAAGCAGCTGGAAGACTTAACACAGATATCCAAATAACTGCACAACCAATGTGGGCCTTTCTTGACTCCAGTCCCCTGGTTCTCAGAGGTGCACGCAGGATGGCAAGCTTGCAAGTTGTCATAGAACATATGAGATACATTCCTACTACATTAAGGTAATACTTAATGTAGGGCTGAATGTAACAGAACCATTCACCCAGTACCCAACTATCTGCTATCAAAGTGATAACTCGTGGCAATGCCCCTGATAGAGACACCATTAAATCACAGACGGCTATGTGCCGGATGATAGCTACGATACAACTGTGAAGTTTAAAGGCCTTATATCGGATTGATGCTACAAGAATGGTAGTGTCTCCGATTGAGGATGAGATGAGGACGAAAAGCATGTACCCCACCCAAGTGTATCTTTCAGCTTCCTTCTGAATTCCAAATTCTGTTTTAATGGAAAAGTCGTGAGATTTCATTGCACCTTGTACTTGAATGTAAATAGGGTAAATTAATGTTACATTTTGTTAAATTTGTAAAGTCTGGGTCTGTTCAAACGGCGTAGCAGACTTGCTAAATATTTACGAATAGAGCCAAAAAAAATGTATTTCGATTCCGGCTCCCGCTCATATCAACAATATTATCGAAATGTTAATTACCGATGTTAAAGCAGCTGTCATATTCAAACTAAAATTAAAAATGCACGCAATACAATTCTGATCACAAAATTTGTGATCGTAATAAGCATATTCGTATGTTTTTAAATAAAGAGTGAGCTTATGACATGGAGCCTAAAGATATGTATTTTTATCAGCTGGCGCTGCATTTCTAAGCTTTGCTACTACTTTGCTAGTTAAGTGTGACGGAATTCTAAATAGGCGCAAAAGAGCCACCTGTGGTACTTACCAGTGTACTTACTGTGGTACTTACCAGTATAGTTACTGTGGTACTTACCAGTATACTTACTGTTATACTTACCAGTATACTTACTGTGGTACTTACAAGTATACTTACTGTGGTACTTACCAGTATACTTACTGTGGTACTTACCAGTATACTTACTGTGGTACTTACCAGTATACTTACTGTGGTACTTACCAGTATACTTACTGTGGTACTTACCAGTATACTTACTGTGGTACTTACCAGTATACTTACTGTGGTACTTACCAGTATACTTACTGTGGTACTCACCAGTATACTTACTGTGGTACTTACCAGTATACTTACTGTGGTACTTACCAGTATACTTACTGTGGTACTTACCAGTATACTTACTGTGGTACTTACCAGTATACTTACTATTGTACTTAACAGTATACTTACTATGGTACTTACCAGTATACTTACTGGTATCAGAATGCTTATTGTTGGTAATTTCTACATATTATTTCGCTCGCCCAAAAATTATTACGTAAATTGGCGAACCTACTATAATATGTGCGGATAATATTATATTTCAGATGTCTTTAGTCGGTCTGGAATAATGATTTAGTAGTCTGTATGCTACTTTAGTGGTTTCACCGACCGTACTTTACTCAGCTGCACAGCAACTATTCGACTTGTCATTGGTAATTGGCACTGCATTGGAAGAAATTGCTGAAATATGTTTTTCATAAAGTATCGTTCAAACGACTTTCAACCATCTTAAGACACACAATAACATTAACACGTATACGTTCCTACTCCTAGTCATTGGTAGGCACCGCGTTGAAGAGGCTAATTATATTTTTTCATTCGTCAAGCGAATAATTGAGTACTGTGCTCTGGCATAATCAAATATTAAACGCACTCATTTCCAAGAGGTTGCAATATCAACTGGTAGGCCGGTTGTTCACAATCAAACTCTTTGAACATGTTTAAAACTACTTTCCTTGCTCTCTTTGCAGTGGGAGTCTTTGCCGCTGATGAACCCTTGACGGCAGCACAAAGCGGTGTTCCAGTTCCCTTCTCAACATCGTGCGTCTTAAAAGTAGTTGGAACTAGCTCCAATGTCTATAATGGAGACGTGTCATTTTTCAAAGGGAACCAAGAATTAGTCTTGTTTGGATTACATCCTGAATGGAAAGGAGGAAGCTTGGCTGTAAAAAACAACGTCTTTAAACAGGGAAAGAAG